TATTAGATGGGTTGATCTCTATGAATGACGAAACCCAGCATGTCGACTTCCTCCAAGTTACCGAGTCAGACTTGGACGAGTCCGACAGCGACAGCGACGGTAGCAGCAGCGATGATGAGGGCAGCGTTGACAGTGGTGATGACGAAGTCACGTCCAGCCTTCGTAAAAAGCGTGATGTCAAGGCAAAGGAGAAGGGGAAGGGGAAGGAGAAGGCAAAGGGAGGGGAAGGGGAAGGAGAAGGCAAAGGAGAAGGCAAAGGAGAAGGCTCAAGAGAAGCCAACACCCTCGACAAAAGCCAAAGCTTCAACCTCGAGGAAGGCGCCAACTGTCAAGAAAGCCAACAAAAGCGCGGCATCGCTGGGCGAGGCCCAGGTCAAATCAGCCACTACTTCCAAGAAAAGGAAACGACAGCAGTCAGGTAGTGATATCGAGACCTCTGAAGGTTCCGACATCGAGTCGTCGCAATCGTTGGCTGCTAATAGAGCTCGGAGGGAGAAGAAAAAGGGGAAATCTATGATGCCGGATTCGCAACCGCCTCCGATTCCTCCCGTTGAAAATCCAGTTGTTCCTCCTCCTATTGGCATACAACCGCCGCCTCCGCCTCCAATTCCTCCTGTCGGCTCGCAACCGCCTCCGATTCCTCCCGTTGAAAATCCAGTTGTTCCTCCTCCTATTGGCATGCAACCGCCGCCTCCGCCTCCAATTCCTCCTGTCGGCTCGCAACCGCCCCCCAATTCCTCCTGTTGGAAGTCAACTTGTTCCTCCTCCTATTGGCATGCAACCGCCGCCGCCGCCTCCAATTCCTCCTGTCGGCTCGCAACCGCCCCCCAATTCCTCCCGTTGGAAGTCAACTTGTTCCTCCTCCTATTGGCATGCAACCGCCGCCGCCTCCAATTCCTCCTGTCGGCTCGCAACCGCCTCCTCCCGTTGGAAATCAACCTCTTCCCCCAACTGATGCGCCTGCATGGTTTCCACGATCTACACAACGAGTTGATTAGGATGGAAGCGGGCCCGCAATATCATCACATGTTGCGACTGCTGGGGCAACTAGAAAGGGCCTATGGCTGGATAGACAAACAAGCATCACTGTCTAATGTTGATCGACCTAGCCAGGTTGCGGCTTGGTTCAAACGAGCTCGGAAGTGGACGGCGGCCAACGATGACATTCGTATTAAGGATGTGGCTGTTTTTTCGACCCAATGGCGAGCTTGGTGGACTCGGACGTCAGCCCACCTGGCGCAAGGGACCCGCCGGAGAACTTTTGCGGGTGGCATCGGATGGTCGGTTGGGGAGATCTTGCCTTGCCAGGCAAGAGCGGAATGTCAGTCATCGTTGCAACCCTTGGGTGGTGGGGACATGAGCTTAGTTTAGCTAAGCTGCCCTTGTCGGTTGTGGGAGGAGGCAACTGCGGAGGTGACCTGGGTGCTGGAAAATCTTGTCAAAGATGCTCCCACAGAGATTATCCGACTCCGCTGACTGGCAGCAGCAGGAAGCTAATGGACAAGGCAAGAAGGAAAACGTAAACTGTAGTGTAGTCGCGGTTTGTGTAGTGAGAATGTCGAGTCAAGTTGTGAAAGAATTCGTCAAACTTGTTGTTTTTTACTGAGACTGATTTAAATTGTTTCTGCTCTGTCGTAAACTGTAGTTGTGTGTAAATAGTAAGAATGTCGAGTGAAGTTGTGAAAGAATTCGTCATGTTTTACTAGGACTGATTTAAGTTGTTTCTGCTCTGTCGAATTCGCGATTCAAATCAAAGGTAGTCAATTTTTTAGATGAAGAATAAGAATGATCATGGCAGTCGTTGGGCATGCTCGACTATTGTTTGTAACATCAGAAGTGACCTAAAGTGTAAGAGATTGGGACCAACAAACACAATTTGATTAACTGTGATTGCCTGACTGGCACCCGTGGTCCGTGTGATTGCGCTGGTGACGGAGTGATATATCACCTATTTGGCAGCTGCCAGAGCCTGGCTGCTCACAGAAGCTTTGTAATTGAATGGCCTGACAGCTGCCGGGTCATGTTTGATATATATTACAGCTATGGCTCTGTCCGAAGCCATCGTGTTGATGGCCTATAGCTTGCCTGGGTAGGGCCATATGTTGTGCATAACACTTCTGGGCAACAGCCCATATGTTGCGCATAGAGGAAGGTGAACCAGCTGGCCCCTTTGCGGGCCTGCGTATATAAGGTGCGATAGCATACCATGTACTCTATCACTTAGATTGTCTACGAACTACCTTTACTCCGTGCAAGGAGGCGCTATCTACTCATCGGGCCCGACACGACCCGATTCGAACCTTCGACCACCGACAGCAACCAGGGACCGAGTTCACGGGCCCTTTCGGTTTCGATCTACCCCGCTCGCCATACTTGCGGGCCCGACTATCCATCTGTTCTGTTCCGGGCGCACATTCTTAGGAGAGGACCTTGCACGGCCCGACCCGCAGTCTGACACGTGATCTGAAGATCAATATCCGGCAAAGGGCAATAGGCTTGTTTCAAGAGTGGGAAACTCTTGATCAGGCAGTCTCAGGCTGACAGGAACCATTGGGTAGATGCGAAAATCTATTGTTCTACTTGTCATCTGACCGTTATTAGGAACTAAGTTATATCAAGCAACCTGTCCAACTATTACAAAACGTCAATCTGCTCTACTCAAAGCACTTAGGAAGTTTAATGGCTATTGCTCTGAGTTCGAGATTCTCCGACCTCCAGACTGTCAGATCGCTGTTCCACGCCCATTGCCAACCACTCTGGCAGCACTCTGAGAAGACTCCTCATTACATGAAGACATCTGGATGACTCCAACTGAGGGACAGCCTCCATGATGGCTTGAGGATGAAGATGTTCGGCAAGGCATTCGTAACCTTCATATTGTTGATTGGTGTGGAGAGGAGAAGTTGAGACTTAAATCAGAAATTGCTAATATGCAGCTGTGGCTTGAGAGAGAGTTGAATGTTGCAACCCATGCAGTTCAAGGGAATGAAGGTATTGCCTTTTGGTTATTCTTCACCTTCTCACACCTACTAGACCCTACTTTAGACCTCCCCCTTCAAGAACGGGTAGAGTATATATCTAGCCTTTAATGTGCTTGGGCAAGGGGTATTGACAGTAGGGCATCCACTATGATTGCCTCTGTTAAATCAGCAGTGCCTTTGCCTGCAGGTGGGCTCCAGAGGCACCTGTCACGGATAAGACCCAGCCCGTCCGCTCCGGCGCTGGTGTCGGGCCATCGCGGGCCCGTAGCACGCAGCACGTGACGACGGGGAACATGTGCCCTAGTAGGAGGAATGCACACGTGGGAAGCATGTGACCAAGAACGACGCGTTGAGCCGTCGCTGAGCCCAACTTCGACACAAGGGGACTGGGGAGGAGTGCTAGGAGGTTAGGAGTAGCGTCTGGCCCACAAGGGATGTACGATCGTCCCCTCTGCGGCCAGGAACGGGAGCGAGGAGGAGGAGGAGAGGCCAGGGTGTCCAATCACCCCCTTTGCGGGCCCGTGTATATAAGGCGCGATAGTGTACCCTGTACTCTATCGCTTAGATCGTCTGAAGAACTACCTTACTCCGTGCAAGGAGGCGTTATCGACTCATCGGGCCCGACACGACCCGATTCGAACCTTTGACCACCGACCACGGCAAGGGACCAAGTTCACGGGCCCTTTCGGTTTCGATCTATCCCCCGCCGTACTTGCGGGCCCGACTATCCGTCTGTTCTGTTCCAGGCGCGCGTTCTTAGGAGAGGTTCTTGCACGGCCCGACCCGCAGTCTGACAGCACCAGCTGGAGGAGTCAGAGGAGCTGCTTGATTCAGAAGGTGCTGTGTTTGAAGGAGCCACTGCTGATGAACAGGACCTGTCAATTATTGAACCTGATGAACCTTCTGAATCAGTTGACATCTTCCAGGAGGTCTTAGATGGCAATGATGGGGAAGCTAATACAGAGGTTCTTCAACTAGAAAACTTTGTGATTCAAATAGAATCCTCTGTGGTATGCCTTTTCTTCTGTCAGGTTGGCCTTCATCTGACCTCATCTGACCTTCTTTAGTCTCCAATGCAGGTTGACACCACCTTTGTTCATGCCATTGAACAGTATCTTTCCTCTCAAGAAGACTCGTTAGCCAGCAGAGCAATATATGTGTAAGTTGACGAAAAATTGCCTGATCCAGGTGAATTTGGGTGAAAAATTAAGCAACAAGTGAAGTTATTTATTGTTTTCCTGTCTTTATATTCCAGGTCAAAAAATGTATTGGAATATTTGAAATTTTCCAGGTCAAAAAAATTCATTAAATAGTCTAATATTTTCCATATCAGAAAACTCATTCTACTATTCAAAGTGTTTTATTATGTCCTTCAGGCCTAAAAATCAGTTAGTAAACTAAACTTTTTCCACTTGAAAACACTTGTTCCAATAGTTTACATTTTACAATCCATTTTCCCTTGGTCTCAAAACTAGTAGAAAAGCCCAATGTTTTTAGATAACTTTGTAACTAAAGAACATTTATAGTAATACTTACCATTTGTAGCACTGAAATACCAATTTGTTGTCCAATAAATTTTTCTCTGCTGAAAACTTGACCTTTTTAGTCCAGTTTGTATGATGAAAACATTTGTTAAAAAACTTTGTCTCTTCCCACTAACGTTTCTATGCTCAACATTTTTGAAACGCGGCTGTGCATGTGTACAGAACCGCGAGTGACGTGACATACGTGACCTCCCATACGTGACTCCCCCCAAAAAAATCATGAAGGTGAACTCAAGGCGACTACAACTTGGTGAAAGGTATTTGCGCTCTTCCCATGCATTCACAAATTCTCTTACATCTGCGGCACAGTCTATCGACAAGGGAATGTGCTTTTCACCCCCCCTCCTCAGTCCAGTGGGAAACTTCTCAATATTTCAGGTGCGGCGTCGTTCTGTGCTTGTTTCTTTGCCTGACTGATCAATTCCTTTTGAGAGTGGCAAGAACATTGCTGCAATAGCTTTGAGTCCCGACGCAAATGTCTAAATTTCCGTCGATGATGGTGCGTTTTTGTGCATTCCAATCTACCAATACTAAAAGCTCGCAAGACGGCCGCGCCGCGCCCTCCTTGTGAACTTCCGGAGTTTGACTGTGCTCCACCACTTTAACTTCAAGAAGCCAGTGAAAGACATGAAATTCTCCCCCGACGGAAAGTTCGTGGCTGATTAGACACTTTTCTGTGGGACCTCATTTGAACTAGATTCGCATGATACGCAGCTCCAGGTCTAGCACACGTCAAACCTGAGCATTGAGACTTGAGGTACGTCGTCGTCTCATTGTCCATCTGGGTCTGAGCTACTCTAGTTGCTTTATAACAACGTCGAGAGACATGACTCGGACTGCTCGATTGTTCACCCTCAATTCGTTGGAAGCCTTCCGACCGAAGACATCTGCTGGGCACAGGGGCGCAGTACTTCTCCAGCGATGGTACAACGGCGTGTTCACTTGCTCTTCCTTCTTGCACAAATTTGACAATTTTCATAGACATATTCAGTCAGTCGCAATGGCGGCTGTTTTCATTGGGAAGAAAAAAGATTCAGAGTCAAAAAGGAGCTTATCGCATCGACCTTGCAAGGCACTGGAAGCAATATCATCGCCAACACACGATGGGGCGTCTACAAGCGTCATTGCTTCAACCAAGCTAACACAAAAAGTCGTATGCACCACATCACACGCATACCCATTGTTGGATTTCCGACCGGTGTCTATGACCATTGGGAAATGTCGGCGTTCTCCAACGTGCATGTCTCAGGCGAGGAATTTTTTTTTTTGGGTGCAAAAAAGCTCGGGCAGTTGCTTGTTCGGGAATGGCAGTCCGAGTTGTATATCCCTCAAGCAACAGGGCCATTTCCACGACATGAACACCCTCGCCTATGCTCCCGATGGTCGATGGCAAAATCGAAGTCTGGTCCACACATTTTGGCTTCTGCTTTATCACCTTGACGCAACACACTGCACCAATTTCCTCTGTCGCATTCGCCAAACACGGGAGTGTGTTATGTATTCCGCTTCACCATCCAGGCATCTTTCGCACCTCCACGGACTCTTTCAAGGTCTTCGTCTGGTCCGTGCAGACAGGAAAATTACTCGATGTCTTAACTGGGTACTAAGCCCACATCAGCGCTCTCGACTTTTCGCCTTCTGGGGCCAATTAACTCGTCAACGGCTCCCGGGACCGCGAATTTGTGCTTCACGTTTTGGTCAGATGGGGAAGATATTGCTGCGTCTTCATTGGATGGCCAAATGGTGTCTCTTCACGAAGATGCGTCCGGAGTAAGGAAGGAGGACGACCGCGTTTCTGCTGCAAACAGCACATCCAACAGTCTTTTGCCTATACTACGGATGGGGAATGTATCCTTGTTGGTTGCAACGGATGTCGTTTTATACTATGCGCGGGCAAGGAGAAAGTTTTAAACTGTCGTTGACTCGGACGGAACGGGGTTGCTGCATGATTCGATTGCAGGATTACCCATAGACTCTCTGGACGAAAAACGACTCACCCCTCTCCAAACTGTACTCGATGTTCCTAGCGATGCGATGGATTCCTTGCTCCTCACCGAGCACGTTGCCCAAAGCTTGCAGATTAAATTCAAGTTGGGCAGCCATCATTGATGACGTTATCACTCGCCGTCACGGTTTTCACGTGTTTCACCATTCTTTCCCCTCCAACCATGGCCACAAATACCGATATAACGCACCTCATCCGCGAATTCAACGAAGAATGTGAACGCGACATCGCGTTGAAAGGCACCGCCCAAGAGCAAAAGATTGTCGCCAAATATTGTCATCCCACCGCCGCTGACCGCCTACGAAGAGCGGAAGACGGGTTGCGCTGTCTGCAAGGTTCGTTACTGGTCGCCATGTCTTTTCATATGTCTAACTCTCTTGTGCGAATGGTAGACAGTCGTCAGCGAGTTCCTGCCAACGCGCGTGACAAAGAAAACGCCACTACTGGTGAGTAATGCGTATTCGAGTACTATGCACTCCCTGACGGCTCCAGTACCACTTCCACGGGACCCTGTCTTCGAGGCCGCTGTCGGCGAGTTCAACACTGCTGAAGTCTTGGAACGACAGGCGCGACTGGCCGTACAAAAGGCCATTGAGACCCAAAGTGAGGCTGCAGATCGGGTGGTAATCTGCCGAGGTGTCGTCCAGCAACATGTCGCTCGCAAGAAGCAAGAACGCGAGACGTATGCAGCTCAGAAGAAGGACGCGTTGGCACTGCGCGAGCGGGTTCAACGCCTGGCGGGAAAGGCTCGGACGGAATTTGTTCAAAGTATCGAGGGCTTGGACGACGAGAGCATTGTGGAGGCATTGGTTGGCGAGTCCAGCAGTGATGACGATGATGATGACCGGGACCGGGACCGGGACCAGGACCACGACCGCGACCGGGACCACGACCACGACGACAACCACAATGACCATGACGAAGTCAGTACCAAACAAGAAGATCATAACATCACTGGTAGTAGTCGTCACCAAGGTCGTTCCGTCAATGAACCAAAAGAAGGTATGTTCTCCGCTTACTTGTCTTTGTTTCAGTATCCTCATAACGCTCCAAGATCACGTTATCAAAAAGATTGCCAAAGCAGTGGGTACGTGATTCAGATCTTTTATTACTAGCGGTTTACATGCCTTGACTTGCAGTCTCATTTGTTGTCGTTGGTAAAAAGCGTCAAAACGATGATCAAAACGATGGACCCCCCGGACGTAAACGCACGAAGATGGTTTGATATCTATTACAACACTCCTACTCCTACTATACATCATATACTATACAGCCTTATGTGAACCAGACATGCCTTCCATGTAACAACTGTCGGAATGGTGACTGAAGTCATTGTGACTCGGATGTGCATTTCCCACTCCTGGGAGATCACAAATCGGATCGCAGAGCACGGCGTGGCGTGTGGGCAGACAACAAGAAGCCTTCTGCTCATGCGGCGCTCGAGCCAACGGAAAGGTTAGTCCTCCCAAATCGATCGTCCTGTTACTGACCAATCGATTTTATAGCAGCAGGCCGTCGTCAGCGCTTTCCACGGTCATCGCTGGAAAAAACGCTCATCACGAGCTTTCCGCCACCGCCAGTGTCGAAGAGAACGAAAACACCCAAGAAGGGGACGAACCTGAGACTCCTGGTCTTGGAATGTCTCCAGTCACGCCAAAGACCAACGACTCGCAACAATTTCCAACAACGCCAGCCACGAGCGTCAGTGAGGACGACACTACTGGCAAGGATGCGAGCTACTTTCCTGGTGGAGAGCCCAAAGGCATTGATCCGACATCTCTTTTTGTCGGCGGCCTCGATGCCATCGTGTGACTGCCTTGTTCGAAAAATATGGTGGGTTGCAGAGTGTGAGGGTCGTCGTCAAGCCAAGTAAGTCGAAATATTTGGTGTCTAATACGCAATCTGACCAACGTCCTTTTTAGCGAACGCGAAAGCTGCATTTGCGCTTGTCAAGTTCAACAACACGGAGTCTCCTGCTCGTGCTGTGATGAACAAGGTATTTGTTATCTACATACTTGCTCTTCAACAACAACAAAGGTTTCAATGTCGTTCACCTAGCACAACTCACTGGCAGTTCATCATGGTCGAACCATCCAAGTCCAACTCCGAGATTGCAACCCTCCCCGAGGAAGTTTTCGATTCCACGGTCGTGGAACTGCTCGTGGGCGACACCCATTATGGCCAGCATCGCTTCCAGGAGAATCGTGAGGGAGATATCATGGCTTCCAACCAAGTCGGGAATCGGCAGTCAACTGTTGAGTTTGAGCAGTCCAAGTTTGAAGCCCAATCTTCTGCACCAGTCATACTTCGCCTGAGCCGGAGACCAAACCAGAGCAAGCTACGGGTGAATGACACCCCCGCCCATGCCGGAATTCCGCTCGGCTCGGGGTCACGGTGGGGGGCTACTACCAGGCCGCATGCCTTCCCTCAACAAGTTCCATAGTATGGATTTACAACCTGGCCTTTCCCGTCGTTGAAACATTGTTAGGTGGCGAAAACGAATCAAGAAGCCGCTATGATGCTGGCTCAACATGCCGAGAATGTCAAAGCTAATGTGCTTAGACAAGCTCATCTGGCAGGGGAGGAAGATTCACATGTGTCCTACTATCCAGGCTACCCTGCCGGATATCCAATGCCGACACATCAAGGCCATCATTCCCAATAGTTCGCCAGCCCTGTTGGCTCTGATGCGAGCGGCCCGGCATCTGCGCCTCGTCCATGGCCGATGTATGGAGTCAGTCGTTTGTTTTTCGTTGCATCTTCTATGCTCTTGCTGAACCAATATAGTACTATAATCTTCCTTATCCATATGCGACGGCGCAAACTTCTGGCGAGAAGTCTCCCAGCCAGTCGCAGGCTCCGTTGCAGCCTACTGGTTTCATTCAAAATGGAGCTGGAACCCTCATTCCTCTCTATCAACAGGAAGCTCTGGATCACTACATGACGTCCAACCACATAAATCAGCCTGTGTCAGCTCAGACTCAGCAACCAGTCCCACAACAACAAGGCCCTCCCGCTGTCCCCGTTGCTCATGGCGCTCCTCAATTCGCTCAATATGCCCCTCCGGGTTATGCATATCCCAACGCGATGCCACCCATGATGGGAATGCAGCCCCGTCCATTCCCGGCGATGACCGAAGCTGCCTGGGTCGCGCAGTCGCAAGTCATGTTGAGCCAAGGAAATTCGCCCAACATCCATTCGCTGCCGTTCCGTGGCCAACAATTCCCAGAAGTGAATGCTGGCAATAATGGACCAAACAACAATCGCCGTCAAGGACCTGGTGGTCGACGGGAGCAGGGCTGTCACAACAACCGTGGCGGACAGCCCAAGGGCATGCCGGGCCGCCATCACCAGAATCGGGCTGGAGGGAGTTTGCAGTTCCATCCCAATGGCGAGCTTCCTCAGCATCTTCCTCGCGCTCCGCAGTTCCCGACGCTTGCCACCGACCACGGACACGGCCAATGGATCTCAACCACCGCGCATCAGTAAACGAACAATCTCCTCTCATTTTCATTATTTTTTCTTCTGTTTTTTTTCACCCGTTGTTTCTCTTCCCCAGGAGGAATCCCATCTCTCTCGCATGCATTTTTATTTATGCGCTCGCTATCTTCTCTCTGCTTTTGTTGTCTGTTGTTGTCGTCACCGCAAACCTGAACCATATCGCACCTTATAATCCTATCACACATTTCCGTCATGTATCCTAACCTCCTGTACGCATTACCGCTATAAGCCCTACTTTTTTTACCTACCACATTGTACTACGTAGTTTGTCTACCCAGCGGCGAAACAAATAAATAGAGATCAGTCTGCTTGGGCAACGATTTCGATTAGGTAATACTACCAACTTCTCGACGTCACACCAATCTCGGTTTCGGTCCAGCAGGACCCGTGAAAGTCCCTACTGAGGTAGGATACCGAAATCCGGACAAATTTTGGCAAATTTCGATGGAGGTCTGACCAGAATCCGGACAAAAATCGAGCCCGAAGCGGACATCTTTGATCTAAAATCCGGACAAGAGAATCGGGCCTTGGATAGGTCGGATCCGAATCCGGACAAAAGTGCCAGGTTGGGGCAGAAAAATCATCTGAACCTAGACAACAGAAGTACGAATGTCAAATTTGACACAAAATCAGGCGCCAAAGAGGGCGAAATTAGAGTTTTGTGAAAACATTGTCTTTTTCCTAAATTTTCAATGGAAGCAGCTTTTTCAGCCGCTTTTAGTACTTTTAGCACTTTTTGGAGGTTGGAACGGAATCCGGACAAAAAATTGGTATTTTGGCCATGTCTGATCCAAATCCGGACAAACTGAGTCAAGTGTGATGTCCAAAAAATCCGGACAAATCTCAGCCGTAATCATTTTCAGAATCCTACCTTAGTAGGGACTGTTGTAATTCCGCTTACCATAGCGAACTCTGGGCGGATCATTCAGCCCGCGCTGACTGATCCCAGTCAGAACATTGTAGAATATAGTAGAATATTCATAGGTAGTATAAATCCTGTATACTACTCTACCCAACAACATTGGATTCTTCATCCTCTCACTCTCATTTCTTCCACAGGTTATGGGCCCCGGTAACCTGAACTGAATGACGCACCAGCTCCATCCACTCCGCCGCTCATCACGCATCATGACGACATCACCTGTCAACTCCCATCTAGACGCACTCGCGTCCACCGACTCGCGTTCTTCCAGCAGCCCGGAGACACCACCCAAGCCGCGACTTGGGCAGGTAACGGATCGGCAGGCTGCACCCTCGTCCGAGCGCCGCTCGCGCACCGACTCCACCGCCACGTCACGGCACGGCCATCGGTCCGGACACAGCCCCCCGGACTCCCACGTCCACATGTCTACTGACACGCTCATGCGAGCACCGTCAACGCCGAGCCGCGCTGGCTCTATCTCCTGCCCTGACTCCCGGGCAACCTCTCGGCAACATCGGACACCCACACGGGCATCCAGCCACCCCGCTTCGAAAAGCTTCGCCGCTGCGCAGGCATCTCGGGACGCGACAACCACTCGGACATCGCCCCATTCACACCCACAAACATCTTCCGTCCACGCTGACACCGGCAACCGGACACGAACACCGGCCCACTCGCGGCCAGACCCCCGGCTTACACAAGCACCCTCCGTCCTCGCTTTCACAAGCACACCAGACACGACTCTCTTGGCCGCCGGGCAGCGGCCCACGCTAAGCCGAAACTCCTGGGTCCTGGACAGTGGATCCAATGTACATATCACCAACAACAAAGCGCTATTCCACACTTACACGCCACTGTACCGGCACCGCGTTAACGGAATCGGCCAACTGTCAGCAGCGGGAGAAGGCACGGTCCGACTCGCATTCGGCATCGACGGGATAGTCAATACAGTGACTCTGCTCCGAGTCCTGTACCTACCTTCCTCCCCTCACAACATCATTTCACTCGGCAAACTCCATCGCGCCGGCTTCATGCTCGACTTTCCAATCGGATCAGATGATGTACTCATCAGTCGCAATGGTCAACGATTCGCGCACTGCCGCAACATCGACAACGTCTACGCCCTTGGCAATGTCTCGCCAATCCGGGCAGCATCAGACAACAACGACAACAAGGTTGATTACTACAACCGGCCGTCAACACCTCCGGACACACCCCAGGACCAGGGGGAGTCTAATCCTGCACCCGCCACACCACCGGCTCAGCGACCGGCGACCCCGCCAACGTCCAACTCGGGTCTAAATCCCCACACCCCGGTCTCCACGGCACCCTCCACTCTCACGCCAATCCCATCACGGGAATCCACCCCGCACCCACCTGCTCCGCGCAAGGAGATCATCGGCGACATTTCAGAGCGCAACATTGTGCTCGGCCCTAGCACCAGCAAGTATGCCAAGCCCGGCACCTTCGCCGGCCACGCGCAGGAAGAATCTTTCCTCGACATCGCGCTTACGGCCACATCTGCGTCACCAGCCGCTAACCCGGCACAGTTCCCATCTGCGGCATCTCTTGCCCCAATACCTCCCCAGGCATTCTCCGCCGCTGCGTTCGAGGGGGAGTGTTGTAATTCCGCTTACCATAGCGAACTCTGGGCGGATCATTCAGCCCGCGTGTCACGGATAAGACCCGGCCCGTCCGCTCCGGCGCTGGTGTCGGGCCATTGCGGGCCCGCAACACGCAGCACGTGACGACGGGGAACATGCGCCCCAGTAGGAGGAACGCACACGTGGGAAGCACGTGACCGAGAACGACGCGTCGAGCCGTCGCCGAGCCCAACTCGACACCAGGGGAATGGGGAGGAGTGCTAGGAGGTCAGGAGTAGCGCCTGGCCCGCAAGGGATGTGCGATCGTCCCCTCTGCGGCCAGGAACGGGAGTGAGGAGGAGGAGGAGAGGCCAGGGTGTCCGATCACCCCCTTTGCGGGCCCGCGTATATAATGCGCGATAGTGTACCTTGTACTCTATCGCTTAGATCGTCTGAAGAACTACCTTACTCCGTGCGAGGAGACGCTATCGACTCATCGGGCCCGACACGACCCGATTCGAACCTTCGACCACCGACTACGGCAAGGGACCGAGTTCACGGGCCCTTTCGGTTTCGATCTACCCCGCCCGCCATACTTGCGGGCCCGACTATTCGTCTGTTCTGTTCCGGGCGCGCGTTCTTAGGAGAAGTCCTTGCACGGCCCGACCCGCAGTCTGACAGAATCTAAGCGATCCCCTTACGCCCGCACAACAGAACACACGAGGAGGCGGCACGAATCGATTGCAAAGTCCAAAAAAAAAAACAAGATAACAAAATATAATAAAAACAAAAAAGAACACCCGGCGGCTACGCACGACCCTTCCCCTTTCGACCCGCCGAAGGACCCGAGGGAGGAGAACGCCGCGACCCCGACCCAGGCCGAGTACCCCCAGGAACGGGGCCCGAGTGACCGGCCTGGCGGCGATCCGGCGGCGGCCCGTTGCTCCCACAAATCTAGCCGAGTCGACCCCGAGTCGTCGACGGCCCCAAAGACGCCCCGCACCCGAGTGTACAACTCCACCATTTGGGCCGCAGACAACCGGTGCCCCAGGTAATCCATCAGTTCAAAATCAGCCGGTTGCATCAACATGCGAGTCTCGGATCGGAGCGAACGGAAGGATGCCGGTGGACAGGGGGTTATCCTGGGGGCGGGTCAGCAGCTGATGCAGCAGCGTCACCCCTACGGCGGAAAAACCGGCACGACTGGATCACATCCGGGTCGTCCAACAACCGGTGCGCCTCGGCGGTGGCCCGAACTGGCGACGGCTCGCCGAACCAAAGCGTCACGTCCGGATAACCCTCCGGGCGGAAGGACATGTTCCCCATCGCCGAGGGGCCCGCACGGCCGGAACTGGTTCCAGCTTCGGAACGGCCCGCGTCCCCTACGCGGCCCGGTAGGCGGGGGGCGGATCGGGGAGACCGGTGCGGAACGAGGGGGCGCGGGAGATCGCGCGCGAGGAGGGGGCGCGGGCCGACGGACCGGAGAGGCCGATCGCCGAGAAGAAGGAGAGCGGGAGCGTCGACGCGACGGCCCAGTTCGGGGACCCCGTGACCGAGCCCGGGGGCGTCGCGGAGACGGTTGGCGGCCCGCATGCCGGTTCAGAACGTTGGGACGGGAAGAGTGTCCCTTGTCCTCCGAACGACGCCGATGTTGCGCCCGCAAGGTATTGGAGCGGGGCAGGAAACGGAAGCAGAAGCGCCGGTAGAGGAAATTCTCCGACACCGCTTGAAGGTCTGCGAACCGCGAATCCATCTCCAATAGAGCGTACACGCCCTCCTCGTCTGTGCACTCCCAGAATTCGAACCGCCACGGAGACTCGCGTAAGTCCTTGGCCTCGTAAGCGGCCGCGAACGGGCCCCACGAATTGCAACGACGGTGCGAGAGACTGCACCAGTCGCAAGCACGCCGAACGTTGGCCGGGAGTTTGGACGCGAGGTCACCGGGCTGGCCCCAGACGGTGCAAAGCCGCCCCATCTGCGCGCAAAAGGAGCAACGCGGCGTAATGGTCCGAACCACTTCGCCGAGGCGGCGCAACGGTTCACCCGGGAAACGCTCTGTCGCGCCCGTACGACTCAAGGCCGGGGCCGAGGGCACGTAACCGTCGGTGTCTTCCACGGTCAGCCGCGATACCCGGTTCGACGGGGAGGTGCGGCGAGCGGTGGGGCGACGGGGAATCACGGGGATAGGCGGCGGATCATCATCCGAAATCTCGATCACGGACACCTCGCGGATCGGAACGGGAGGGCCGGGTAGCATTTCCAACCCGGGCGACGACGCGCGTGAAGGGCCCATTGATACATCGTCGGAGTCGTCGGCATCGAGCATGACGACTTCGGGGGCCACCGGCGAAAAGCGGGGACGGAAGGACAGAATCGGGGACCACACGCCGCCCTCGGGCAAATCTACCGGGGCCCGATGCCGGATCGCCCCCGGCCCGGGCGGCAGTAGCCCGGCACCAACCACAGACTCCAACTCCTCAACA